TACAAGAACATAAGTTCAAAAGAAGTGTCGCCAAACATGAATACTATACAGGTAGCCAAAGAAGAATAGTAAACCAACACAGAACTGGTGTTATCAGTCGCCACACGCTTAAGGATGAAATTGTTCGGCGTGTAGTATGGATAATCTGTCGATCAACTAACTTACTAACTCGAACTAACTATTCTCTCGACACAACAGCACGTATTTGTTCATGTATTCAAGCGCTAGAGCCATCTCTTTTTTCTGTCAACTTTACACTTTATGTGGTTGTGATTGCGGTCATAAAAAACTGATTTACAATGTTAGCACAAACATTAAAGAAAGACTTATACATGTGCAAATAAACCTACAGATTAAACATAGTCTGTTTTATTGTATGTGTTTGACATTGATAACATTAGCTTCTGTAGAACCCTAGAAGAAACATGAATACCTGGAGGAGTAAGGTCACAGGTATTAAATGATGAACACAAATGTAGAAGAGGTAGGCAACGATATGAGAACGCACACGAACTCAACATAATTGAAAGCTCAAGTGACCACATCCAGATTCTACTAATTTGTGCTAGTACTGTGTTCTGTGTCATAGGCAGTTAGTTTATCAGTGCTACGTTCTGTGTCATGGACAGAGCTAGTTTATCAGTGCTACGTTCTGTGTCATGGGCAGTAAGTTTATCAGTAGTAAGTTTTGGGTCATGGGTAGTTAGTTTATCAGTGCAACGTTCTGTGTCATGGACAGAGCTAGTTTATCAGTGCAACGTTCTGTGTCATGGACAGAGCTAGTTTATCAGTGCTGCGTTCTGTGTCATGGGCAGTTAGTTTATCAGTGCTACGTTCTGTGTCATGGGCAGTTAGTTTGTCAGTGCTACGTTCTGTGTCATGAACAGAGTTAGTTTATCGGTGCTAAGTTCCTTTTCTTGAGCAGTTAGTTTATCAGTGCTACGTTCTGTGTCATGGGCAGAGTTAGTTTATCAGTGCAACGTTCTGTGTCATGGACAGAGTTAGTTTATCAGTGCAACGTTCTGTGTCATGGACAGAGCTAGTTTATCAGTGCTGCGTTCTGTGTCATGGGCAGTTAGTTTATCAGTGCTACGTTCTGTGTCATGGGCAGTTAGTTTGTCAGTGCTACGTTCTGTGTCATGAACAGAGTTAGTTTATCGGTGCTAAGTTCCTTTTCTTGAGCAGTTAGTTTATCAGTGCTACGTTCTGTGTCATGGGCAGTTAGTTTATCAGTGCTACGTTCTGTGTCATGGGCAGTTAGTTTATCAGTGCTACGTTCTGTGTCATGGGCAGTTAGTTTGTCAGTGCTACGTTCTGTGTCATGGGCAGTTAGTTTATCAGTGCTACGTTCCTTTTCTTGAGCAGTTAGTTTATCAGTGCTACGTTCCTTTTCTTGAGCAGTTAGTTTATCAGTGCTACGTTCTGTGTCATGGGCAGTTAGTTTATCAGTGCTACGTTCTGTGTCAAGGGCAGTTAGTTTGTCAGTGCTACGTTCTGTGTCATAGTTTATCAGTGCTACGTTCTGTGTCATGGGCAGTTAGTTTATCAGTGCTACGTTCTGTGTCAAGGGCAGTTAGTTTGTCAGTGCTACGTTCTGTGTCATGGGCAGGGTTAGTTTATCAGTGCTACGTTCTGTGTCAAGGGCAGTTAGTTTGTCAGTGCTACGTTCTGTGTCATGGGCAGGGTTAGTTTATCAGTGCTACGTTCTGTGTCATGGGCAGTTAGTTTGTCAGTGCTACGTTCTGTGTCATGGGCAGTTAGTTTATCAGTGCTACGTTCCTTTTCTTGAGCAGTTAGTTTATCAGTGCTACGTTCTGTGTCATGGGCAGTTAGTTTATCAGTGCTACGTTCTGTGTCATGGGCAGTTAGTTTATCAGTGCTACGTTCAGTGTCAAGGGCAGTTAGTTTGTCAGTGCTACGTTCTGTGTCATGGGCAGGGTTAGTTTATCAGTGCTACGTTCCTTTTCTTGAGTAGTTAGTTTATCAGTGCTACGTTCTGTGTCATAGGCAGTTAGTTTATCAGTGCTGCGTTCTGTGTCATAGGCAGTTAGTTTATCAGTGCTGCGTTCTGTGTCATAGGCAGTTAGTTTATCAGTGCTGCGTTCTGTGTCATAGGCAGTTAGTTTATCAGTATTACGTTTGTGTCATGGGCAGTTGATTTTTCAGTGCTACGTTATTTTTCATGAATAGTTAGTTTACCATTGCTACGTTTTAGGTCACAGGCAGTTTATCAGCGGTACGTTCTGTGTCATAAGCAGTTAGTTTATCAGTGCTGCATTTTGTATCCTGCACAGCCAGTCTATATATTATGTGTACGACCATAATCATGTAGCAGGTCCTTTTTGCCAAACGTCGCTATCATCTCGGTCTGCCTGAAATAAACTCGGCCTCTCGCCAGCTGTCCCGTCTTGTGAAATTTCATGCTGTTCATTAGTTAGAATATGACGAGAAATGCATTAAATATTTGAAAACGAATGAACCAGGACGCAATAGTTTCATGAAAGATAACACTAAAATCTAAAAAAAAGGGGGTGATCTATTATTAGAAAACAGCAGAAAAACAATACATGCATGTGGTGTAATAACAATGTGTGTTAATGTTAACATCCTGTTTCTGCCTTCTGACCGTTTCAGTGTGTTCTCTTATCTATTTGTTCTGTTTTTAGTTTTGTTAATTTACTTCCTGACTTACTCCTCCCTCTCTCCAATAGCTGGTCTGTCTTATTAAGTTTTTTATACATAGTTAATCATGATATATTGTATGTATTGACCTGTTGTCCATTACTATATATTGTCTGTATTGACATGTTGTCTATAACTATATATTTTCTGTAATTACATGTTTTCCATAACTATATAATGTCTGTAATGACCTGTTGTCTATATTTATATACCGCCTGTATTGTTAAGTAGATTCCATGTATTGGTTGGGGGGGGGGGCGGGGGTGGGGGCTGCGTGGTCTCGAGGCCTGGTGTCTGCCTCGAGTGCTAGAGGTCCAGGGTTCAAGCCCCGGTGAAGGCTGGCATTTTTTCACGTGGATTTCTAGTAATTTCTCCTAAGTCTCTGGGTAGTAAAACTGGACGTTCGTGTGATTGTTGCACTCGTAAACAAATCTTTTGACATCTGGAAATCAAAAAAAAGTAGTTTAACGGCGCTGTCTGGGCAAAGTTTGGAGCTAAAAATCTACCAAAAGTATGTCAAGATCCTCACCGGTAATACAGTTTTCGTGCGCTGCGCTGAGATTCTTCGGACTCAGGCTTGAGTTAGAAGAACGGAGCACTTATTGGTTACACCCGCGTACCACTATGTTGATCTATCGAATAAATATAAACATTAATTGGTAGCGTGTTGACCTCATCAGCTTCGTCGATTTGTCACCACACTGAATCATTTATATAACCAGGTATTCTAGCAGTTCTGATATCCTGAAACCACAGTGAATTAGTCTTTTATGCCGGTGTGTTTTCCCCCCTTCCTTCCCCGTGATGTATAATTATATTATACGTTCCGCATATCTTAGCAGCCAGAATATTTGTCTTTCTGATGTATCATCAACGTCTGCATTGATCTTTCTCATGTAATGAATATATTATCAGCGTCTTAAATTAAATTCTTCGTGTAAAGGTAAAGGTTAACTCGGGAGATATGAACCACCGTCATTGCACACGGTTATAAACCATAAGTGCTCTGCCACCAGTACGGACAGCTGATATGAAACTGCCCGCCTGTGTCGCCGTGCGACAGCAACTCCGTAGCTGCAGCGACGTTCCAACATTTACCCCAGAGTGTTAACTCTGGTACCCATTACCTAGAGGATGGGTGAACCTCGGAAACTGCCCGGTTTCGAACACCGGCCATGGTCTGCAGTGAGTCGCGGCTGGATTTGAAAGCGAGTCTCATATTGACTGCGCTAACGCGGCCCCCATAATCGTGTATTTCTGTATATTGTTAAGCTTACTAACTGTGTCTTGAAACTTATTATTGACTCCCCACATGTCAAATCAAGTGCTCCCATCCTGGTGCTTAAGTGAGACATCATTTCTATGGTTATAACAGTTTTCGAGGTCACAGAAAAACAGTTACAAAACGGAAGATTAATGTGGCTAATGTTATCACATTTAGAAATGGATGGGAAAAAGCTTAGTTAATAAAAACAAAAATGCAACGTACACTTCGGCTAACGTGATACACAATGTAGCAAAAGTGTAAATAGACATCTCATCTCATTTCTCTTGTCATCTTTATCTTTAACATATAGCTTCAGGCTTGTATCTGGCATTCATTATACACCACAACAAATATGTAATGATTACTAACCCTTGTGTCCCCAAGAACGGTTGGTTTTCTGAGTAATACTGTTAATAAACATCTGCTTCACCAGGTGGCCTATGTACATATAGTAAGCACATCAACTCATTGGTATATCATTTTTGAGATTATAAACATTACTAATAGGCCTCATCTGTTTGCAAGTAGAGAAGTGTTCGAATTAATATATGTTGTAGTGATAAGGTCATTACAGGTCTGTGATCTTATAGATTATCATCGTCATCATTATCATCATCATCATTATTAGCATTATCGTCATTATCATCATCATCATCATTATCATCAAGTGCCTTGTCGACTGACTTGTGGGAATCATGCGTCTACGCATTCTGCGATCGGCAATTACTTTTATCAGCTCTAGTGTTGGCAAAAGGCTGTCAAGAAACTGCTGGCATTGACATCCCCTACCTCTCTTTTCACGACGTAAATCAATGTTTGTGTTGACACCCCTCCATGCCATAATAGAAGGCTGCCAAGAATCTTCTAGCGTTGTCTTTCTCTGTCTCTTTTTCAACATATCTTTACAGTGGTCACAACATGCTCCACTTTCCTTCTTTTCATAACATGATCTTATACATCTACCACCAATTTTCCACAGTTCAACCCCATCTGTAACTTCTTGCCCTCTATTATCCGAAGTGTCGTGTTTATCTCCTCAAACACATGGCAGTTATTTTCTTTGACTGATCTCCGTCTGAACCTCCAGGTCCAGTGTTTCTGCGAGGATTCGCACAGTGACCTCACCACTGACCAGAATCACAGCCGGTATACGACACTGCGTTATTTTAAACACCTCATTTCTGATGGTCATTGCCAGCAACGAGTCCATTCCTAGACTGGGTAAGTCTGAGTCCGGCTGCAGCAGTGACTCGTCGATCCCGATGATGTTTGCTGACACGGCAGTCAGCAAGTCGGTGTAGATGTCGAGTCTGTCCTGCTGGGGGAGTTGGGGAGCTTTCTGCAAGGCATGTCTCAGCTTATCGTTGACAGTTTTGGCAGTTGAGCCGTGTGCAGTAGCCAAGGCATTCTTGCGCCACAGGTCGCTATCAAAACTGCAGGCGACTGTCTGGCCAGAGTCCAAGAGAAGAATGGGAATTATCATTTCTTGAATCTCTTCCTCTGTAAGCAGCTTCATTCCTCTTTGGGTTAGATTCTGCTTAGCCTTTTCATTGTTGGTCAACATCCCAAGATTCAAGGCTCCCCAGTTAATGCTTTGACCTGGCAGATTTCTGTGCCTTCTGAAAGTAGCTAGGCCATCTAGAAAAGCATTTGCGGCCCCATAGCTGGTCTGTCCAACGTTTCCAATAACAGAAGTCACTGAAGACTGCAAGATAAAGTAGTCCAGATCGTGATCTTCAGTCAACGTGTGCGCATTCCACGCACCCAAGACCTTGGGTGACATCATATTCTCTAGATGTTCTCTTGTGACATTACTCAGCATTGCATCTCCTTCAACGGCTGCTCCAAAAAAGATCCCCTTCAAAGGCCTGTTAGGAAATTCGATGGCTATGCTGACGTTTAAGACATTAGAGAGAGAATCTTTGTCACAGACATCGCACTGGAAACATTGGATGTTGCAGGCTGATTGTTGACACAGTTCATTTATCTCCCTTGTCTTTGCTTCACCTGGGGCTCTTCTGTTTAGAATGGCGATATTACCTGCCCCTTGTGACGTCAGGAACCTGACAGTAACCCAGCCCAACCCTGTCAACCCACCCACCACAACGTACACGGCGTCTTGTTTAAACAAGTAATGGTGGTCAACTCTGACACTTGACCTATTGACCTTGACAGCTTGGACTTTGAGCAGATCATTGAGGTCAGCCGTTACTTCTGGAAATCTGTCAGTCAGTCTGTCCCCTCCACTCAGACATTTGGATACCTGATGTCTGTGACAAGACAGAAACTCTTTCACTTGTGGAATTAACTCCAGGAGATTCCTTGGCTGAAAGATCTCTGATGGGTCTATGACGATGACCTTGATATCTGGGAAATGGTAGGTGATGACACAGTTGACGCTTTGACTCACGAGTGGCGCCACCGTGACGAGGCACTCCGCCTGGGGCCAGTGGTTGATCAGGGTAGACACCAAGCTGGCGTCTAGGAGAACCAGCGACACCACCGTCCTGTTTAAACTCTGACCACTTTCTACTTGTTCAGGAGTTAGAAGCTGGATGTGTCTTGTCTGCTTCTTATCTTTAAAAGCCAGAATATCACATAGTATTTGACCAAATCCTTTTGTAGATGACGACGTCAGGATTGTAAGGGAGTTGCCCTTAATGTATTCAGACAGGGTCATCAGCACAGAGAGCCTGACGAGGTCGCCATTTGTGTAATCCTCAAACATCTCTCTCGGCACAGTAGCTTCAGCTGGCACAGAGATCTGCGACCCCATAGGAGATGGGTAACATGACATGATCTCCCAGTGACTTCCATTTTCACTAGTGTCATCTTGTTTGCCTCTTGTTTCTAGAACAAAGACAACACTTCCATTCCCCAAGTGACTCCTGTGTGGTACCATGGTACTGTACGGCACTGACAGGTTGAACAGTTTTGGGTGAAGGATAACTGAATCTGTGACGTTAATCTCCAAATTATTTTGACTGTTGCCACAAATTTCGCTTTCATCATACACACAAAATGTTTCCGTGGAGCCCAGAGGTCCGTTAGAGACTTGTAGGACATGTTTGTGTCTGTCCGCAGAGATGTGCCTGAAGACCGGTACGGTATTGTTGGTGAGTGAGATAATCTCGTGAACAAACATTCTGTTTTCTGTGACCAGCCATTCATTGAAGCGTTTTAGATCCTCATTCTTGTGAACAAAGTTAGAGATGGAAGTCATGCGATCCAGAGAACACTGTGCCTGTGGTAAATGGAGATCAAACACAGAAATGTCTGCAGCCTGTTCCTGGATAGCGCTTCTAATCATCCCCCAGACTGAAGTCATTACAGGGTTGATGTTGTCCCTGTTAGACGATGAATATTCAGCAGGGAGGGCCCATCTTGTGAAAACATGGACGGGGATTTTTAGGGGAAAACAGAAGACACTTTTCAGGACCATGCAGAGGTTTACAATCTTTGACTGGATTACTGCTGCTTCTACAGATTCATCAAACTTAAAGCTGATGTTGAAAATAATCAAGCGAAAAGTGTCTAGGATGCGGTTTTTCTTAAGAGAGTCCATGTGTCTTATGATTGTTTCACTGCAGTCTTCATCGATACTGTACTCAATACTTGTCACCTCAGGGGGCACAGATTCATTGCTCATGTACAGAATCTGTGGATCTGTTTGCTGAGTGTAGGGGTAGTCTGGTACTTTCATCACCCAGTGACTTCTGGAGATGTGCTCTGTGCTGTGTTCATCATTGCTGGTCTCTGCAGACAGGAATTTCAGGGTCAGATCCTCCATTTCTACAATTATGTCCCCATCCAGTGTTGTCAGTTTGCTGTCAAATATTATCATCTTGCCATAACGATCCTTGACAGTTGTGTAGATGTACATTTGCTTTTCAAAAGTCCTGTAAGGCGTCACCTTTCCTATGGAGATGGGTAGTAATTCTTTCCTGTCCCCGCTCTCTTCTAAGAGAACAATGAATGTCTGAATCATAACGTCTAGCAAGGACGGGTGCACTATCGTGGCAGCGCACTCATGGACAAGTTCGTCAGGAATCATTGCACGGACAATACATTCTTCATTACCTTTCCTAGCCTCATAGAGAAGCTTGTAGAGAGGGCCGTAGTTAAAGCCGAACCTGGTCAGCTTGTCGTAAATGTCGTTTCTGTTGAAGAGTTCCTGACATCGAATCATCACTTGTGGAATGTTGACGGCCACTTTGTCCTTTGGGGCATAGTGTGGATGTAGTTGAACCGTCGCAAAGCGCGTCTTGTGGTGCATGATTGCAATTCTGTAGCTCTTGAAAGAGGAGCTGGTATCTATAGTCTGAGAGGCGCTGACATCAAGCGTGAACACAACGGGTTCTTTCTCTGTAAAATGGCAGGCCTGTTCAAATGTCGCCGACACAGAGTAGTGCTCTGCTTCACTGAGGCTTATCTGTTTGCTCAAAGCAAAACCGCACTCAACATAGAGAGCACCTGGGATAATTAGCTGACCAGCCACTTTGTGGTCAAACACAGACCTGAATGTTGCAAGTGTCAGAAAGACCTTGTGCTTGTTTGTGGATTCCACTGGAAACACAAACGGATGATCTCTCTTCAAGAAATTGATTCCAGCCATTGTCATTGATGAAGTCTCTGAGTGATGCAGACATCTTCTGGGGTTGAAGCTGTAGCGAGGAACTGCGGTCAGGAGATGCCCAGACTGGGGCAGATTCTTCCAGTCGACACTGCAACCATGTTTGTAAGCTTTAGCTAGAGCTTCCAGAAATGTTTTCCATGTTCCCTTAGAGCGCATGGACACAACCACCTTGACATTCTTCCCAGGAAATATGTCATCTGTATGAGCCGCCATCAGAGGTTTGGAGCCGACTTCAATGTACACGGTGTTGTCCTCATCTATAAAGGATTTCTTCAGGGCTTCCATGATGAGTACCGGCTCACGAACATTGTCCACCCAGTATTCCGCATTGACCGGTCCGTTGATAAATTCGCCCGTTACACTGGAAATCATGTCTATACCAGCTGCTGAGAGACAAGGTCCAGTGCCGTTGAGTGCCTGCCTCAGTTCATCCTTGCACCCATCCACACAATGGCTATGGTAGGCAAGAGGGAGGTTCAGATCGATGACTTCAATGTCCACTTTTTGCAGCTTCGCCAGTTTTCTCACATCATCTTCGATGGCAGCTATGATGTCAGTCTGACCACTGACCGCGCAAGTCCTTGGGCTAGTTCTTACAGAGACATTTGCCTTGCCTGGCCACTTGTTGACAATTTGATCAACATCCTCAATGCCAACTCCTCTAAACAAGATCATCCGGCCAGATCCAACAAGCCTGGCCAAAAGTTTAGATCTATGATAAATGACTTTGACTGTATCAGACAAGGATACACGTCCAGCAATGTGGGCGGCAGCTACTTCACCCACAGAACTACCCACGGTACAGTCTGGGGTGACACCCAAACTCATCCAAAGATGCGCTGTTGCTATCTGACAAGCACATATTGCAATCGGCCAGAACATCTCATCGTTTGTATCATACTCCGTGCATAAGCGATCTTCCACCGTCCAGGGGACATAACCACCCAGAAATTTGTCAATTTCCCTGATCTTATCTCTAAATACCTTGCTGTTAGACATGTAATCTCTGCCCATTCCAGCCCAGGCAGTCCCCATTCCACTAAAGACAAACACAATCTTTGGCTTTCTGGCATCTGTGGAATCATGCTTGACCTTCGCCATTTCATCCACCACTTGGCCTAGTAAACTCTCCGTAGTGTTGGCCACAAAAGCCTGGCGTACAGAGAAGTGGTCGCGATGTCTGGTGGACGTCAACGACAGGTCTTCAATATTCATGGACTGTACGTTTGGATAATTAACAAAGTCTTTCATGCTGCCCTTGAGTGACTCCAGGTTCATTGCAGAAAAGCAGACGATACTTTCTGCTTTCACGTCACTACTGATACTAGGAGGCTGGCCATGACTTTCAATGATTGCATGACAGTTTGTACCACCAAAGCCATAAGAGCTGACACTGGCCAGTTTAGTCACAGCTTGCCAAGCAATGACTTTTGTTGGAACCCGCAGGTTAAAGCCATTAAAATCAATATTTGGATTGGGTCTGTCGAAATGCAGAGAAGGCACAATCTTTGAGTGTTTCATCATCAGAAGAACTTTGATTAGACCCGCAGATCCGGCAGCTGATTCCAGATGCCCAATGTTGGTCTTCACGGAGCCGAGGTAACGATACTGCTCTGCTTGCTTTATTTTGAAGAACTTGCCCAAGGCGTTGACTTCAGTGAAGTCACCGACAACGGTCCCAGTTCCTAAAGTAGGGAGAAACCAAAGACAAGAACGTGTGTGTGAGAAATGCATGGGATCAGATATATCGTTACATAATATATGTAGCCAGCGACATAATGGAAAACTATCGACGCACTGAGAATGGACCTATAAGTAAAACTGCAACACTGGGAGAAAGGACGTGTAGGTAAACATTTAACACTGTGAGAAAAGACCTGTCAGAAAACCTGTGTAGGAAAACATTGAAGGTTTGCGGATGAAAACGAAGCTGACTATTGGTTAGTCCTGCCCCCTTAATTGTGATAAAAATGTCTTTATATAATGTGTTCGTGAATGGCCACACGATGGAGTCCAGAAGTAGGCAGCGACCACTGTTATGAATGGCTACACAATGGGACCCTGGAAGTAACGTCCTAAACGACGAATGTTCACTTGGCTATACTTTGATGTATGTATGTGTATGCTCCCCGTCATCAATATACTGTTGATGTGGTCAAGACTGCCTTTGTATCCCAGAGCTTTGTCTGCTAGCGGTTTCCTTGTCCTCAGATCATCGGTACGCCGAATCTAGTCAAAAAACGACTCAATGAGATTCTAACGTTTGACGATAGAATTACATAGCTAGTGAACTAGCAAATGGGTTATCCTGCCAGCATACTAGCCATTCTGCCAGGCCAGTGTTGTAGTCATTCTACAAGCCCAGCATGCTAGTCACTCTAACAGGCGAACATACTAGCCGCTCTACCCGGTAAGTGTACTAGCCACTCTATCAGGCCAGTGTACAAACTACTCTACCCGGTAAGTGTACTAGCCACTCTATCAGGCCAGTGTACAAACTACTCTACCCGGTAAGTGTACAAGCCACTCTATCAGGCCAGTGTACAAGCTACTCTACCAGATCAGTGCACTAGCCACTCTTCCAAGACAACCGTAAAGCAACTTTACCATTCCAGTTTTTACAAACCACTCTACCAGGCAAGCATACTGGCCACTCTACCAGACAAACATACTAGTCACTCAAATATGCCAGTGTACTAGCCACTCTACCAAGCCAGCATACTAGCCACTCTAATATGCCAGCATACAAGCCATTCTACCAGGCCAGCATACTAGTCATTCTACCAGGCTAGCATACTAACCACTCTACCAGGCCAGCATACTAGCCACTCTACCAGGCCAGCATACTAACCACTCTACCAAGCCAGCATACTAGCCACTCTACCAGGCCAGCATACTAGCCACTCTACCAAGCCAGCATACTAACCACTCTACCAGGCCAGCATACAAGCCACTCTACCAGGCCAGCATACTAACCACTCTACCAAGCCAGCATACTAGCCACTCTACCAGGCCAGCATACTAGCCACTCTACCAAGCCAGCATACTAACCACTCTACCAGGCCAGCATACAAGCCACTCTACCAGGCCAGCATACTAACCACTCTACCAAGCCAGCATACTAGCCACTCTACCAGGCCAGCATACTAACCACTCTACCAAGCCAGCATACTAGCCACTCTACCAGGCCAGCATACTAGCCACTCTACCAGGCCAGCATACTAGCCACTCTACCAAGCCAGCATACTAGCCACTCTACCAGGCCAGCATACTAGCCACTCTACCAAGCCAGCATACTAACCACTCTACCAGGCCAGCATACAAGCCACTCTACCAGGCCAGCATACTAACCACTCTACCAAGCCAGCATACTAGCCACTCTACCAGGCCAGCATACTAGCCACTCTACCAAGCCAGCATACTAACCACTCTACCAAGCCAGCATACTAACCACTCTACCAAGCCAGCATACTAACCACTCTACCAGGCCAGCATACTAGCCACTCTACCAAGCCAGCATACTAACCACTCTACCAGGCCAGCATACAAGCCACTCTACCAGGCCAGCATACTAACCACTCTACCAAGCCAGCATACTAGCCACTCTACCAGGCCAGCATACTAGCCACTCTACCAAGCCAGCATACTAACCACTCTACCAAGCCAGCATACAAGCCACTCTACCAGGCCAGCATACTAACCACTCTACCAAGCCAGCATACTAGCCACTCTACCAGGCCAGCATACTAACCACTCTACCAAGCCAGCATACTAGCCACTCTACCAGGCCAGCATACTAGAAACTCTACCAGGCCAGCATACTAGAAACTCTACCAGGCCAGCATACTAGAAACTCTACCAGGCCAGCATACTAGAAACTCTATCAGGCCAGCATACTAGAAACTCTACCAGGCCAGCATGCTAGCCACTTTGCTTTGGCTACAGGTCATACGGCTTCTAGAACAGCTGTCTGTTTATTTACTGGGTTCGGATGTACCAGTGTCGACAGCAATAGTCGCAGTCTTGGAGTTAAAATACGTAGGTTCTGAATAGTCTAGGAATGAAAAGAAAATTGCCGTAGGAAATAACGACACAAGGGAAATATTTATATTTTTTTAAAAATATAATATATAAAACAGTACTTAGCTCTATGCAGGTTTTTTAGGTTATCATTTTGTTGATCGATACGTGAAGTCGTCAGCTTATTGGATACAATTTTTTGTTATTTTGAAACCCCGCCCTGACTTTTCCATGGGGACCTGAATATAGCCGGGTCATAAATATGGCCTAGCCATAGATATGACCTACACAGCTAAAAGGGGTTTCTGGGACCTCTCCACGGGTGATCCTCATTCGCATGATGGCACTCTGGGTTGTTTATCGCTTGTGTGATGTCCCAGTGGGGTACAGCTACATACTTACCTGTTGATCGATACTGAAAACATGTCGTCACATTGTCTCTGTTTATCCGTTTTCTTATAGGAAAACTTTTAAGACTTCCTGTTTTTCTTATTGTCTCGGCCAGGGTTGCAGCCGAAACCTGATGACCCAATCTCACTTACTTATATGTAGGGAGTTTCTGCTAACTTAAATCAAACCTTATTTAGATACGCTGTTGCAGTGTAGCCGGTATTTTAATTTTACACGACCACATCTCGTCGGCTTCGAGATTTCCTAGATAGGCACCCCAAGGGGTTTCACAGGACAGTACCATATTATAAAAGACGAAAAAAGGGGGGGGGGGGTGTAGGGTTAGGGCGAGTGTTAAATGAATTGCGACATACTGAGCCTAATCCTAACACCCCCCCCCCCCCTTTTCCTCCATACTATGGAACGTGCAGGGGGTTTACCTATAACAACTTGAAGCCGACGAGAAGTAGTGGTATAAAATTGAAGCACCATGCACTCTAAACAAGTAGTCAAGGAAACATGTGTTAGAATACCCTCAAACTCTTACGTTGACGCGGTGCATACGCCGATGTCTCCTGTCAGCACAAACAATATAAGTAATACTTGTTTGTCAACATGTTTTGTTTGTTACTCACCGTGTGCTTCAATGTAAGCCAGACGTTTGGGATCAATCCTGTTTCTACTGTAGATCTCCTCCAGAAGTCTAACCTGCTGCTCTCCTGACGGCTTGGACATGGGCGTTACCGTGCCGCCATCTTGGTTAGAGAAGGAATCAATTGTTGCCCAGATTTTGTTCTTGTCTTTAATAGCCTGAAAAGAATGTAACCAACATCTGTGCTGTTACTGTAATTGTTTAGAGGAGTCTTTGATATTCTATAGCACAAAGGTAACCAACATCCGCGCTGTTACTGTAGTTGTTTAGAGAGGTCTTTGGTGAACTTTGTTACCGTAGAGAAGCTATGAATGGACCCACACGTTCGGAGCGCAAGGCAAATGGTTTAACCACTTCGCCAAGGAGACTAAAGTTAACGAATAGCAGTAATGCTACAGTAGTTGTGTAGATATGGGTCTTACATGAACTGTAGCACAACGTTAACAGACATCATTAATGTTACTGTATTTGTGTAGATGGGTCTTTGCTAGACTACAGAACAAAGTTAACATACAAAACATGTTTTTTTTTTTTTTTTTAGCTTACATGAATATACATCTAAAAACTGAAGTGAAACAATAATAGCTCAATAAGGACACAATGAGACAGAGCGTTAGCGCAGTCGATAGGAGGCTCGCTTTCAAATCCAGCTGCGGCCGGTGTTCGAAACTGGGCGGTTCCCGGTGTTCACCCAGCCTCTAGGACAAATGTACCAGAGTTGATACTCTGGGGCAAATAAAGGAACGTCGCTGTAGCTACGGAGTTACGTGCGAACGGCGACACAGGCGGACAGTTTCCTATCAGCTGTCCGTATTGGTGACAGAGCACTTGTGGTTTATAAACGTGTGCAGTGACGTTAGTTTACATCTCCCGTCTTTACCTTTACCTTTACCAATGAGACCCCCCCCCCCACCCCCCCCCCACCCCCCACCCCAAAAAAAAAAAAAACGAATGTGCAGGCTGCTCCGGAAAAAGAATAATGGAAGTCATTATCATAATAATGATAGGCAGCGTCTTGTCTCCGTAGTTGAGATATTCTGGCCAGATCAAGCAAAATAGGTGGACTGGTAAACAATAGCAGCAGGCACAGCGCCAGAAAGGAGGGGGCAGATGGCGACCTGCACGAAGGTGGGCACAGGATATATGTGATTCCATTGACATTTGAGACATGGAGAAAGATAGAGCTTCTTTCATACAGACTGTCATGAAAGAGATATTATGCAAAGGACCTTCTATGACTACTTGATGATGATATATGATGATGATGAAGAGGATAATCATAATGGCTATGATGGTGATGATAATAAAACAGAACACTTACATCTTGGTATCTCTTTAGGATGACGACCCCACAGCCCTCGCCACGGGTGTACCCGTCCACCTGGTCGGAGAAGGCGAAGCATTGGCCTTTGGCAGAAACCATGCGAGCCTTGCTGAGATGGATGAAGAGATCAGGACACAGGATGGAGCTGACCCCACCACAGATGGCCATGTCACAGACTCCTGTGCGACAGACAAAAAAAAAAAAATTGTCTGTCAACAGCTGACGAAATCTTCGCCTAACAGAATCTTGTTTGTAGCCTTCATATCTGTAGACGCCGGCGGAAAGTTCTTGTTGTTCATCCAATTCTGGACCAGAGCTTGTGCTTTGCACGCACATACATTTTACAGATCTAGCTTAATTGTAGGCTGATTGTTTGTTGGCACTTAGACTTCGAAGCAACTTTTGCTAATTAGTCTAGGAATGAGGGCGTATAAGCATCCATCCCATTAGTCATAGATCAAATGCCAGTTTAGGCGCTCGGGGAGTAAGATGTGGGAGTGCGGGGGAGGGGGGGGGGGGCAAAAAGGCCTCATGACATCTCCCCCATCCCCCGTCAACTATTTTGGGAGGGAGGTAAGCGGTTACGGTCATCGATGTGCAGAAAATCTCATTACAAGTATTTATTTATACATTTCAAATGATTTCAAACATAATACTTTATTTATTGCCCATTTAGAACTGTATTAAAATACTTATTTTTATCATTATTGCTAGGAGCCGCTGGGCGAAGTGCTAAGAACGTCAGGTTTTTATGAAAACCCAGGTTCGAATCCTCAGCAATGTCTTGCGTTTTTTGTAAATTCAGGAGGCAACAATTACATTTTAACCCGCGGAGTCTGTGGTGACAGCCCTAGCCATGCGGGCTGAAAACCTCAGGCTTAAAAACCCCTGCCTACACCCCAAAAGTGGTGAATTTTGGCACTTTTTCAGGGGCGGGATGGGAAAGTGCAGCTTTAGTATTATTATTACTATTATTATTATGTTTCTGAACTAGGATTAAGCTCCTTGATTCCTCTAACTAGAAATATAACGTGAATCTAAAAGACCAAACAAAATTTAGGGGAAACAGTGAACGAAGACAAGGAAACACAAAACAAACATTCGCCTCTTACCGGCTTTTAGAGCCATATATCCCAGATCAATGGCCACTAGAGAAGATGAGCAGGCGGTATCCAAGGTAACAGATGACCCCCGCAGGTCATAGACAAAGGACACTCTGTTGGCGATGATGCTGCTGGAGACTCCAGTCACTGCGTAGTTGTCTGGTACCATGGAGGGGGCGTTGAACTCGCTGCGGTAGTCTTGGTTCATGGCGCCTGCAGTCAACAACAACAAAATATCCCCATTTTACTTATTATCCAGAAGTTCTTCACTGAGAACTGCAGGCTCGCCTACAATAGAGAATGAAGCCTACAGGATCTTTCAGAGGCATACTCAGTGCAATTCACACAGCGTTTTCTGTTGGTAACACCAATTGTTCTACAACCAGATGAAAGACTTGTTCGTGTGTGATCAAAAGCCCTTAATCCTGAATGTTTTTTTTTCCCCTTTACATTGGAGATGCACATAATTGCAAATCTCAAAACATAAATTAGGGCATTATCCTGCGATAATCTAAACAGGCTTATAATGTGGAAATACTGTTAGAGACCTGGTAACCTGGAGACTGTGTATCTAACTTCTTCTTCTACTTCTGCCTTTCTATCCCCCTATGGAGCATAGGTCTTTAACCAACTCGGGCCAAGTCGTTCTATCCTTTGCCATTACATGGAGCTCTCCCTATGTCCTCCCCATCTTTCTAACTTCATTCTCCAGCTCTCTTCTTTATGTGTTTTTTGGCCTTGGAGAGTTCTTACATTCCAGGTGCTAGATCTGGAGGTTTTCCTAGCTGAAAGGAGGTATGTCGACGATCAGGACTTCTTTCGGCTTTCTCAACACGGTGTCATACATCTTCTACTTGAAGAATCCCCATTCATCTTGGTTGTCTGGGTTTTTCTTGCTTCTCTTTTTGACCTATCCGTGGTTGGTTGGTTATTATGGCTATTGTTTTTACAGGATGAGGTAGCCAACCTCAAACCCCACCCTTCCCTCAGTCGCGTCTTACGACATGCTTTGTAAGGTGCAGTGTCACTATGCTTTGCTTCCCATGAAGACACCGGTGACACACTGGCGTGTGTATACTGTACCCACAGAGAAATATAAACAGAACCCTGATAACTGTATGATGTACCCAGAAAAACATGTCAAGTGTCCTGAAGAAAGCGTTTAGTTTGCCCATAGGGCAATATACCCTGTACCCTGAGGGAAATGGTTTACTGTACTCTGAGAGAAAGATACCTATTAGCCTGGAAAGAGTATGCTGTACTTAGAGAAAACAATGCAAAATACTCTGATGAAACGCATGCTGAACCGAGAAGGAAACATCCAAATAAATATAAGAAACTACTTAATGTTAACCAATAATTTTAGATACACCGCTAACATTAGGAATGAGAAATACTGTCAATATATACCATTTAAAAATAAAATTTAGGTAAAAAAAGCGCTTTAAGACAAACAGAGAAATTCAAGTATTTGAGAGCAATTTTTACATCCGATGGAGAACTGGACAAAGAAACTAGTTTGAGATTTGCCTAAGCTAATTAAGTAACTGGACAACTAACTCCCTTGTTGACACACAAGCAAATACCTCGGAGTACCAAGAGGAATCTTATCAGAACTATTTTTTGGCCAACACTATGCTATCAGTGTCAAACGTGGACACTTACATCCTCTAATGAAAGTAAAATTGTGACAACAAAGATGAAATGCTTTAGACGAGCTGAGGAGTTTTAAGAAAAGACAGAATTCGAAATCAGGCAATCAGACGAATTTTAGAAATAAAGCCAGTCTTATAGGTCACCAAAGAACAACGAATGAAGTGGTTTGGACACCTAACAAGAATGCCCTGGTACTATCAGCCACAACGAGCCACACTAAAACGTTACAACGGGTATAGAGCGAGCGGAAGACCTCGGAAAATAAGGAGTGTTGGTATTTAAAAACAGACTTACAGAAATGAAAACCAATCTTAATAGTGCTCTTGACAGAGCTCATCACCGAGCGTTACATCTTCCCCTAAGACTTTGCTAAGGTACAAGGTGGAAGAGAAGAAGAAGGAGGCGAGGAAGTCTAAAGTAAATACAGACACTTAGGACACACAGACTGTCAAACAGATAAAAGAGACACTTACCCATGTAGACACTGGTGTTAGAGCCCTTGATCTGATCCCGGGTGATGCCGGCGTCCTCTAGAGCACGGTGACAACATTCCAGCACATATCTTTGTTGTGGATCCATGATATCGGCCTCCACGTCTTTGATGTTGAACAGCTTGTTGTCGAAGGCCAGGTGGCTGAGGAGACAAGGTCAAGGGCGTTTACTTCAGAAAACGTCTAAAGCAGTGGCTCTCAACATTTCTAACGATCCGACCCTCTAGTACAGTTTCCCATGTTGTGGCGACCCCCAACCATTCAATATTTTCGTTGCTTCTTCATTACTTCAGTAAATTTGTGTTTTTTCGATGGTCTTAGGCGACAACTGTGACCCACAAAAGGGTCGTCACCCACAGGTTGAGAACCGTTGGTATAGAAAATAGGAATAGGGGTACAGCCAGGAGATGAGAGTGGACTGTATGTTTTACCACCAGCTAAAAAAGAGGCCAAAAGTGAACATAAAAGTTAAAACAAGTAACAAGTTTCCCCTTGTTCTAGCGTGTATAAGAGATGATGGCATTTGCAAAACAGAAGTCACAATGAGAATATGAAGGCGTTCTTTAAAAAGATTCCACAATTTTTGAAAGCAAAAATAAAAATAAACAAGTTGAAAATAAAATCGTCAAGTGTACGGTGCAGAAACCTTGACAAAGAACAAGCAGCTAAAGAACAGCTGGAGATGTTTATATCCAGACGAATAGGTCGTATTTCATGGAAACAAATACAATCAAATGCACACATTCTGAAGAAAATGGTTTGAAAAGACAGCTGCTGAAAATTGAAAGAGAAACAATTCAGTAATCTTGGATACTTTTAAACACAGAACACTCTTTTCAAAACCATGTTGGAGGGAAAAGAATCAAAGGCAAGAGAGAAAGAAGTAGACAACTATACAAGTGGGAGGACCACATAAAGGGGTGGAGGGGCATCAGTATGAAAGAGTGTACCTTCAAGACCAGCGACACAGTGTATTGGACAATCAGTTCAGCCAACATTCATTGTGGAGACGGTACCTGACTGAGTGATGACACATGACCGAGGGGTGGATAGCCGACAACGCTCAGCTCTCATGCATCAGACCCAGGTTTGAATTCTAGGTAAGGTTAAGGATTGTTATTTTATGTCAGGGGTTGGAAATGAAAGGGGGGGGGGGGGGGCTTAACCTGCACAATTCATGCCGTCTCCAATTACCATGTTACCCTACATTCTAAGGTGCACAGATTCTCTAGGCACCTGTCCCCAAACACCCTGCCCCCCCCCCCCTTTTCCCACCACAATAACCGTCAGAAAAGCGGCAAAAGTGGTACATATGGGCAGTAATGGCAGCTCTTATGACAGAAAGAATAAGACACAAAGACTGAACTTAGATGACACTGTGCTCATACCGGCTCTGCCAAAGTATAGACACAGACCTCGTATGAGCTATCACTCGGAGGAAGCTGGCAAACAATGGTGACACACTTGGACAGATGGGCAGGCAGACATTTTCAGAGTTCCCCGTGTGAGTTGCGGGGCCTTTTTATAGATAAAACAAGAATAGACCCACTGCCTACCCAAAAGCATGTCGTAAGAGTCTACTAATTGGGAGCTAACTTCAAAGTCAGAGTGCATCTGCATGAGAGGTAAGGAACCAACAGTCTGCATACAAACGAGTCAGATCTGTCAAACGGATGCACACGCAACACTCAGGTTATGGAACAGGACTGCAGTCCAGCAGTGGACGAACAACCAGAAATTTCCGCTAGACTTTACAGCTAGTGAACGCGAAGAAGAAGAAGACTTTCAGAGTAATACCTGAGAGTAAGTCAGCGGGAGATTTATACGTGTCTTCTTGTATTCTCATAATAGCTACATTGACAAAGATGTATAAACGTTGAGTTGGTTTATTTTCTTCTTCACTTCCTCTTTCACCGCTTCGTGGGAGACACACGTTTCTGCTTCTTGTTCTTCTGGCTACCTCGACTATAAACACATCGTGCTGTTGTAGAGTTACTCTGATGTTTTTTATATCTCTCGTGTTCTTGGTCTACCGTGTGCTCTACGTCCTTCTCCTCTTTTGGTATATACATTGTTTGGAATGTCATCACAATGCACTCTCTCTAATATAGTGTCGTCCTCTTGTGGGATGCAACTTTTTTGTTATTTGAAGCCCCACCCTGGCTTTTGCCTGAGGCCCTAAATATAGCCGGGCCATATATATATTGCCTAACGGTTGAACGGGTTTTCTGAGACCTCTCTACTGGTGATCCTCATCCGCATGGTGGCACTTTGTGTCACCGAGTGTTTATAGCTTTGTGTGATGTTCTGGTTGAGTACAACTTGCATACATAAATATTCTTTCTGAGTGGGTATATCATGTGATCTGCTGTCTTTGTAATTTAGAATTGGTCGTGTGCCACCTTTTTCTCTGAAGACCTCGTTTTTTATTTTTTATTTTATCTCGTCTAGTCACTCTAGGAGCCCTTCTCAGACATCTCTTTTTTGTGGTTACCAATTTTCTTTTATGATTTGTTGTGAGTGGCCACGTCTGTCATTTGTATCATCACGAGGGAATTATTCTGCTTTGTATGATCCGTTTCTTTGCCCTGAGTGGGATTGTCTTATGCTGAGAGAACTGATTTATGGTACATGTGAACGATTATAATGAGACTCCGTGAGGAGAGGATGGCTCAACAAACGGTTGTGAGGTTAAGTAGTTATGTGAAGGACGTGACGATTCCTCGGATGAGCCTAGAACCAGGGCGTCATCTGTCGGCTCTGCCTTTATGGAAGCCTCCTTTTATGGCGGAGGATGCCCGGTTTCTGCCCCTGCCTTTCCCTGCCCACGCGGTTGCCCTAAAGGTGTTCTCCGTGGACAACATCTGTAGACAAAGAGATTCAGGGGAAACCACACAACTGAGGCAACACCATGTTTCACGAAGCAAAGGCCATAGTCAACTCAGAGATAGAATCGACGTCTTCCCTAAAAGTCAGAGTACATCTGCCCGAGAAGCACGAAAGAAAAATTGCACACAAACAAGCTAGTAAAACGGTTTCACACGGAAATCTTATGTCTTTGTACAAAGCCAAATGTCCGTCCAGATGGACAAACAAACAGGACATTCCGTCGGAATTTACATTCAGTAAACACACAAAAAAATAAGATAATGGGACTTTGTAGATGCATTCATTAGTAGCTGATTCACTGAATGACAGAATAACTTACTCTTTGAGCAGCCCTGCTTTCCTAGCGTGGGTTTTTGCCGGTGTGTTGAAATCACTGTCGTAAAAGGCCTCGTGAAACCAGCGGGTTTCTGGGATCTCAATCACGTGATTTTCACCGTTTTCTAGTACTCTCCAGAACTCTTCTAAACTGTTTGCGCCCGGAAACTTGCAGCCGACGCCAATGATGGCGACCTTGTCTCGGCTCTCCTGGGACATTGTCCAGGTGTGCAGATCTTTTGTGGGCTATGACAAGTACTGGAGAACCTCTGGATGCAACTGAAAATAAAGCAGCAACAGATGGACTTATTTTCTCGTAAACTAACTGCTCAATATATTAATGTCGACATTATCTCTCGTAGACGAATTATCACCAACTTTGTCAAAATAAAATTTAACAAACAAAATTTAATTATTACATGTTTGGTTGTTGAAAAACTAGCTAAAATACTGGCAAAAATCTTCTCTTCCATGCAAAAACTTGTTGTAGTGTTGGGTTTACCTTTTCTCCCGGAAACAAAATATCTAAAATACTGTCATGGGAATTCTCTCCCGGGGACAAACTATCTAAAATACTAGTATGGACATTCTCTCCCGGAGAGAAACCAACCTATACAATAAACGATATTTGTGAGATGGCAGTGACATGAGTTGGCACTAGATGATTTGAGGAGTTTTAACCACAATCCGCGATCTCCTGCAGCATGCATCAGTTCGTGTGCTGACACATCTCCAAGCCATGCAACAAGACTGTCAAGAATCTTCTCTCGTTGTCTATCTCTATCCCTCCTTCCACAGATCTTTTCAGTGGTCACAACATGTTCCATTTTACCTCTTCTCATAATATGGCCGAAAAATTATGACTGTCTATTTCTGATGTTTGTTCTTTAGGCTCCCGCCTCTTTCAAAACCCCTTGACTGCTCTTTTTGGCTGTCCAAGGTATTTTAAGCATTCTTCTGTAAAATCACATCTCTGATTCCTCAAGAAATTGTTTGCCCCACCGATTGTCCAGGACTCACAGCCATATGTGATGACACAGAGACATGAAAATTTTTCATATAATAGCTAACGTAGAAGACGTGACCAAAGTAAATATGACATATATCAGATACCATAAAGCACATGGTGAAGTCTGAAATTGACATATGAGAGATAACTTAGGTGACATAACAATGTCATAATTGACATTATAGACGACTTATATTAAGCAAAGACAAATATTACTGGCAGATAACCAATGAAAGCATGGTGGATAGTTCACAAATATGACAATGATTATAAAGTATAACAAATGTCAGAAAGATTGCATACAAAGTATCACAAATATGATAATGATTATAAAGTATAACAAATGCGATAATGATTTCACAGTATTAGAAATGTGATAATGATTATAAAGTATAACAATGTGATATTACTTGCAAAGTATGACAAAAATTACAGTAGTACAAAATTAACCAAAAATAAAATGAAATTTAAAAAAAATAATAATAATAATAAAGAGAGAGAATGTATGCACAGTTTGCATTATAAGGCTATCACTAAGAAGTAAAACAGACAATAACAATTCAGAGTAACACAGAACAATAACTACATAATTTTACCTCAGAAAAATTATAGTGATCGTTCTGGCCTTTCTGACAAAGTTCATCAAATAAATACAGAAACAGCTCACAGCACCAGAGAACAGAGATCATGCAAACAACTCCACACAACAAAAGACGATTCAACAGAACCAAGTCCTAGACGTTTCGGCTGTAAGCCTTTCTTAAGGACAACCTAAAATAACAATGCATAGTTTTATGAGGGTTTAACTGTCTGGTTCCTTGACTCAGGTCTTGATCCAAGTCAGCCTTAGGAATGTCGTCTGCTCCACATGTGCTCTTTGTCTATTCTTTGTCTTTGTTCTTTATATCATCTTCTTCCTCTCTCTATCTCTCTCTTTCTCTCTCTCTCTCCCTCTCTCTCTCTCTCTCTCGGTTTCTCTCTGATATATATATATATATATATATATATATATATATATATATATATATATATATATACACACACGTATTTAGAAAAGTAAAGGACTCTTTTCACACCTTTATGCGTATTGGGCATGTAGGGCTAGACCTATATTTTTATATACCAATCGGTTTTGTGTTGAGGATGTGGTTAACGTCACGCCAGCCGCCTTTACTTCACAGGACTGTGCCTGGTACCAGTCTAAGGCTGGGTCGATAGGAAGCCAAGGTAATTTTTAGAAAACAAAACGAGCTTTATCGGGACCTGAACCCAAGACCTTCTGATCCGCAGGCAAGCGTCTAGCCGTTAAACTACAGCAGCTTCCCTAGGTTGGTAGTAAGAAAGTGTTTTTAAGTGGCTAGTTACAGTAATCCCATCTACATCTACTCGCATCATCGTCAAGTGCTTTGCCAGCTGGGGCAGGCGTTCATGCGTCGCCACAGATCTTCCTCTTCGTTGTTCTGGATCAAATCTACTGATGATATTCCTGCATACCACTGTCTTAAGCCATCCACCATCATTTCCCTTGGTCTGCTTGTGCCTCTTCTATCAGTGACCTTTATAGTCATCACAATATTTTCCGGTGCTCCTTTTATCAACATATGGCCAAACAGCTCTGTCTCCTTCTCATTGTTGTATATCATGTTCTACTTTCATTAGCCATTTCCAGGCACTCAGTGTTGGTTATTTTGGCAGTCAACGTTCTTCTCAAGAACCACATCTCACATATTTCATATCTTCTCTACAAACCAATAAAGGAAGCGAAGAGACAATCAACAACATTCAATGTATGGAAGAAATCACCCTTACCAGCGACAGAGAGATCTGACGAGGTTCCTTGTACCTTCCTGAGACCCGGAGTACGTGGTACCTTTCTCAGTTCTGGTGTGCAGATTGCCAGGTGTCTTCTCCGCATTTATATCCACACGTCAATAAAGCCGGTGAATGACAGATGTCAGTGAGTTGTGTGTCAGATTTCAAGAATGAATGACTCTAAGCAACAATGACAGGTGGGTCGATACGGCTCGAGCTGCAATACAGGAGCTGTGTGGTCATCCTGTCCCTTGGATACTGCCTATATATTTATCCTTTCCATGAATAGATTCAACAGGTCTGCTTAACTCTCCAAAAATATGAAGACTTTGTGTAGTTTTCACTTTGATCAGGTAAGGGTAAGGAATTAACTAACGTCGGCGGCTTTCATCTAAAATAATGCTGGCCGAATAAGAGTATAGAGGAGCCACAGTGGTATGGAGCCTAGATGCTCGCTTGCTGATCTGAACGTCTTGGGATCAGGTCCTGGCAGAGCTGAATCTTTTTCAAAAATGGTGTAGCTCCCTGTCGACCCAGCCTAAATTGGACCCATGTATGTTCCTGGAAAGTGAAGGCGGCTGGCGTTTTGACTACCACATGACGCACAGAGTGCTTATTGGTCTATAAAATGTGAGTCTAGCCCTATATGCACATTAGGCCTGAAGGCTCGGGAAGAAGTCCTTTAGAAGAGTAAATGAGCTAGCTGCCTTTCCCTCACCCCTCGTTAAGCCGATTAGGTGTAAGGTGCTGACCTTTAATTTTGTAGACATATCGGAACTAGATGAGAGATGTGCTTATTGTCACGCCGCCCACCTTTACCTCTCAAGACATTCACATATTACCTAAGCTGGCGTGAATCGATATGGGAGCTCAGATTTTCTTCAGCTTGCTGTCGCAGTTCTTCCTCTGCACTTACCCTAGCAGCTGACACGCTGTGAGTATGAGGCTGCCATGTCTGCGTCTTTCTGTCCAGCACATTCTATCTCCAGAGCTGTAGTGGTCTAGCGGCTATTCGATTGCCTGCGGATCTGAATGTCGTGAGTTCTAAACCTGACAGAGGCGGATTTTTCCACCTCAAAACTTGACCTTGACTTTCAGGTTAACCTAGCCTTAAATGGGTACCAGATAAAGACAAGTCAAGTAAAGGCAGCTGGTGAGCTGTTGACCGCGTAACCCCCCCTCACCACCCCCCCCCCCAACAGTGCTGCTTGGTCTATAATATTTAGGTCTAGTCCTATATGCACAACACGCCTGAAGACATGGGGAAGGGTCTTTACTTACTTTACTTCGACATCTAATTCTATCAACATTCTAATAAGTCGCCTCCCAGGACATGCTTATTAAAAGAAAAGTGTGGGTTGGGGGGGGGGGGGGAGAGGGAGAGGAAAGAGCAGGCGGGTCTAATAAATTTTCCATACCAAAACTATGAGAACTGAGCCCAAGCAAAGACGTGTCGAATGGAATACAACAGAATGATTACAGAAAACAGTCGTGCTGGCCACATAGCTAACGCCACCCCATTAGTTCCATGATACCTAATCACTAAACTCCACCCTTATATAATAGCGTAACATAACCCTTGACCTGTGGAGATGTATTCATGAAAACACTAACACAAAAAGCCCACCATCTTTCTCTGTCTTCCTCTTGCTGAACAAAGGCATAGTAATTGAGTCCTGTCCATTTCTTGATGTTGTCATTTCAGTTTCTTTTTCGTCCCCCCCCCCCCCCCACTTTCACCCTACCACCCCCACCCTACCACCGCCACCCTACACACCCCTCCCCCCTTTCTTCGACTACGCCACAATATTTCTTGAAGCACAATCTTCGCAATCGAATCAGGTCTCATAGAGTTTCCAAACCAAGCTTTGCTTGCGACTTTTTACAATGCCAGAGAAGGTTTCAGGTGTCCTGCAAATTTGGTTAATTCTGTCTCTTTCACATTCGTTTGTTTTATGTTGTAAAAAGCTAATTCAGTAGAATAAATCTTCAGCATTCAAAAGTCTGAATCCTCCTTTGCATTTCCACAGTGAGAGTCCAACTATGACAGTCCACCCTTATACGCGGGACAGAATAAAACTAGCGTTCACGGATCTTTGCTGTAGACTGCTGTACACTTAATTTGTTGTACACTTTGTTGTAGTACACTGTAATTTCAAGAACCAAGTATTTAGGCCTAGGGTGCCTATTCTAGTATTCCGCTGGATATCTCCTTGATGGATGTGCTACAGTGAAGTCCTGCATTCTATAACTGGCACACTTGGCACCGACACAGCATCATGTAATACAGTTGCTATCTTTACAAGCCAACAATAACGCTTGTGACAGGCCACATAAACTTTAATGGCATTAAAGTTACACGTCACAAGATGATGATGATTATTCAATAAAACGTACG